GCAGAGAAGTATAGTGTCACTATGGTAATATTGCACTGCTCTGGTCACCGTATGATAATTGTAAAAAAAAATTGTAAAATAGAAAAAAAAAAATGAAAATTTGAAAAAAGAATATTATTATTATTTTATATACTGTCACCAGTCATATAATTCCTACACCGTTCACCTGATTTGGATGTAAATACCCTCAAATTAAAGCTGACAGTCTGCAGTTAAAGCACATCTTGTTCATTTAATTTCAAATCCATTGTGGTGGTGTATAGAACCAAAAATATTAGAATTGTGTCGATGTCCCAATATTTATGGACCTGACTGTATATGTATGTGTGTGTGTGTGTGAAAACGTTTATTTAATTTCTTCCTTTTCCCAAAAATTGTGAAAACATTACAACTTCAAAAACTCAATGTGCCTTTTATTAAATACTTCGGACTGTCTACTTTCTGAAAAGGGGTCATTTGGGGGGGATTTATACTGTCCTGGCATATTAGGGCCTCCCAAAATGAGATAGGCCATCAGTATATCATAAATGATCAATTTTCAAATGTAATTATCCGTCAGCATGCATCAGTGACCTAAACCTCCTACTGGATTGGCTAAAGGATATATAAATATTCATACCTCGTTTTTGTTTATGAAATTTCATACTAGGGCCAGTGGTACAAATGACATCTACCGGGGACAGTGAAAAATCACAGCCTACTGCTACAGCCTACTGAAGCTTAGGGAAAAACCAGTAGAAGAACTACACAATTAGTCTGGGCTGGCTACCACCCAGCCAAAACAAGTTCAGAGTATGTTAAGGAGGAGTACACTGTATATCGCCAGCACACCACGGATCTTCAAAATGCTGTCCAAGCATTTTTTTCAGGTGATCACATCACAGCAGTAAGATGCAACATTTCATAGGCATGCAGGACCCCTTCATCAGGCATGTTCTAAGGTACATAATACTGTGTAAAGACATTTAAAGTGCCATCTATGAACCAAAAACCTGTGCAGCCATCCCACTGACCTCTGATGCCATGTGGCAGAACAAAACACACCAAATGTGACAAAATGAGTCTCTGATCCTGCCCCCATCGCAGCACATTCACATAACCATGGTAGTGGGCAGGGGCGTACTGACAACTCATGGGGCCCCCGGGCAATAGGGGATCATGGGGCCACCTATAAAAGGCAATAGGGATATATAGGAATAGGTACCAGTTAAATTTGGTGGGACTCAGTGAGTGGCATGTGGGGGGGAAACACCAAGCTGAATCAATCCAGGACTACCTGGCAACACAAAGCCAAAAATACTACTCTAAGGAACTGGAGAGTAGGAACAGTATAGATATAACATCATTACTATAGGGGAAGAAACACCAACAACCCAAGTGGATGAACCACAACAGTTTGACCATGGCTTAAATACAGATCGCAGTCTGGTCTGCTACTGTAGCTGTCCTGACCCCAGTAGAGAAGGAGTAACATTGCCAATGCATGTAGGCTCTTCTAACAGTTGTCTCTAACAGTATGATCCACACAGATCTTTCATTCGCTAAATCTGGTGAGGACAATTTGGATCAATACCAGGCGTTGCCTCTCCAGGGATCAGGAAGGAATTTTTTTCCCAGCAGGAGCAAATTGGATCGTGCTTTGCTGGGTTTTTTTTTTTTGCCTTCCTCTGGATCAACTGTGGGTGTTGGATTATAACTTTTTTTTTTTTAAATGGTTGAACTGGATGGACTTTTGTCTTTTTTCAGCCAGACTAACTATGTAACTATATTGCTCCAAAGGGCCTAATTTAAGATAGGGGTCATGGTAGTTTGTAGCACGCCCAACCCAACAGCTACAACACATAAAACAGCTACAACATAAAACAGGTATCCAGAGTGGCTAAATTGTCTGTTGTGGCAACAATAACCAGGTTAAAAACAGAATGTCCAGAGCTAAAAAAAAAGCAAAAAAAAATCAAATAAATCAAACCATCCCAGGTTCTCATACATGGGGGGCAAATTGTGACCCTGCGGGGACAAGGCAGAGCAGGTGCATCTACACAAGTGTTTCACAACCTTTTTTTCAGTCAAGACACCCTGTAAAATTTTGCACAATCTCAAGACACCCCTTTATAAAATGTAAAAATCTAAACTAATAGTTTTACATCCACACACGTAGAACACCCAACATAAAGGTTTTTTTTATTCTTCCAAAGCAAACACACCTTTGTACACTGGTACAGACTAATATTCCAGTGTTTCTATTCCTGCTCAGTTTACTCTCCCTCGATCAGCTAATGTGAACCAATGCTGATGGAGAGGGGCAGACAAAGGTGCCCAATGTCCTTTTTATCAAATGATGATGTCATTGGATGTTAGAGTGCCAGGAGCTAGAACGTTGTAATGGTGCACAATGAAAACCTGAGGCTTTGCTTAACTAAAAGGCAGGCTTCATCTACCCATTGTCTTGTATACAATGTTTTGGCATTTAGCCAAGGCTGAAGAAATCTGAAGTCATCTCAAGGTGCCTGGGCACCCTAATTGAAAAAGGCTGATCTACACTCTAGGTGCACAAAATGGTAAAATAAAGCAATATAACCAGGGGTGTATTTACCACAAGGCAAACAAGGCATTTTCCTAGGGCGGCATTTTTTGGGGGGAGGGGGCAGCACTACCCCTTGGAAGAAGGGACGGAAGAAGGGACACACGTGGCATGGAGACCTGTGGGTTCTGAGAGATGCTGTGGGTTTCATGACGATGTCTGTGTATAGCCCGACTCTCATTCCTGGGGATGTCCGGACTTGAGTGGTGCTGTGAAGGTGAGTGTCTTTCTCTCTCTCGCCATGGGGGATGGTGGCTGGTGTATGGGGGGCAGTGGTAGTGGAAGGCTCGGTTGGAGGTCAGGGGTGTTCTTGGTCAATGTCAGGCTCTTTCTGTGGGGGGGAGCCAATTTTTGTGTTGCCTAGGGCAGCACAAAACCTAAATACACCACTGGATATAACCCAAGTGGTCAGAACACAAAGGTGTACAGTGTGAGCTCCCAGATTTCAATATACCTCACAATGAGTAAGGTTTAGAGAGGGTCAAGGACAGATCTACAAGGCATATAATAAACATGTAATACCGAAGTGCAATGTCAGCAGTGGGCGCCCCCTTCCATGTTAGCTGAACAAATCATGCCCAGGCAAAGTTTGGCTGCAGGAGGATCAGGTACAACTCACAACCCCAGGAAGCCACAACAATACAACCAGGCCTAAGAGCTACCTGAGAACCCTTAGGAGACAGTACACCTTGGATGAGCCAATAAGCAGTCATATAGAGATAGCATCACCATTATGTGCACTGATGAGGAGGCACTAATGAGGCTGCACTGATGGGCAATGGTAGGTGACACTGATGGGCACTGATAGGTGGCACTGATGGTCACCACTGGGCAGCAGTGATGGTCACTGATTGGCACTGATAAGCTGCACTGATGAACACTGGTGAGCTGCACTGACAGGCATTGATGGGGCTGCACTAATAATCAGGGCAATGAAAGTGCTGACAGCCTTGTCGGGTATCGGACACAGACACAGCGTGTGAGGAAAAGACTGTTGATAACCGAAAAGTCTGTTTACATATGATCAGCTGTGACTGGAACAGCTAATCACATGGTAAAGGGCCATTATGTAACATTTCCCCTCTTCCCTCTCCTCAATGTGCTGCAAAGGATCCTGTTATTTCATATTGGACCCCATGTGATGTTACTTAGATGACTCAACCACTTCAAATGTGTTATTTACAAAAAAATGTGTTTGATTTTGTGTTTTTAAGAAGTTTAATTTTTAAATTTTATTTTTTTTTAAACTTTGTTGTAAAATAACAAACATCAGTGCCAGGATTCCTCAAACACATGGGTATTACAGTATATCGTTTTTAATTGGCTCCCTGAGAGGTTTGGTCATGTGTGGCTCTATTTATCAGTTATTCTGACTGTTACAAGGAGACCTAAAACAATATATATAAATGGTGACCTCAGACTAGGACACATTTTATTTTACTTATTTTATCCAGCATGCATCTTGTGCTCATGATTTGAGCAGTTTATATGTAAATCATTGACCAGACCAACAGCAAAGACTCAACATAAACTACATGGTATGTTTCTACATTTTTGTAAAATAAATCATTTTTTTCTACCTTTCTTTCGCAGCTTCTACAAGAATATGGTGACAAAAATGGATAGAATTGTCTCTAAAATAAAGCAGTTTTTTTAATTCTAGATACAGTTCTGACTCACTTTAGTATACCATAGGAGGGGTTTGTGCACAGAATATTCCATAATGAAGCTGCCAGCAGACTAATAAGAACCTATAGGTATAACCTTGCCTCTTGCTGGTTTATTTTTTAATGTTCTTAAAGAGTTACCTTAACCCCTCGCCCTCCAGAGGATGTACCCCCCTTCCTGACCAGGTCATTTTTGCGCTAAGGCGCTACGTTACTTTAACTGACAATTGCGCGGTCATGCAACACTGCACCCAAATGAAATGTATGTCTCTTTTTCCCCACAAATAGAGATTTCTTTTGGTGGTATTTGATTGTCTCTGCGTTTTTGATTTTTTGCGCTATACACAAAAATACTGACAGTTTTGAAACAAAAAACTATATTTTTTTATATTTTCCTAATAAACATGTCCAGTAAAAAATGTTTTACAAATCCCAATACGTGCAAATTAATTGGTTTACATGAAAGTTATAGCTTTTACAAATGGCGGTATATATACTGGAATTTTTTACTTTTACTGGTAATGGTGGTGATCAGCAACTTATAGCGGGAGTGCGGGACTGTGGCGGGCATTCTGACACTGGGGGGAACTGACTTGGTGTCACTGACATCCCCAGTGACATCAATGCAGTGATCAGTGCTAATAAAAAGCACTGACACTGTACTAATGACACTGGGCAGGAAGGGGTTAACATTTGGGGCGATCAAAGGGTTAACTGCGTGTATTTTACACTGTAAGCACACTGCTTTGTATGGCTATGCTATGCAGAGCCATACAAACCAGTGTGCAGGAGCTGACAGGAGAGATACCTGTGTTATTTACACAAAGGTCTTTCCCCATCAGTGATACTCAGCCAGGTGCCGCAGGGAAATCACTGGCCGGGACACGGTGATCGACATCCTAGGCCACAAATGGCGGTGCAAAATCACATATTGATATATATATATATATGATTTTGTGCAACCCTGCCGCCCTGTAGCAGTATTTCTGATATAGGTCAGCAGGGAAGTGGTTAAAGTGACTTAAGACCACATGCTGTGTCACTCTACACTCAAACCTGTCCTTCCAACCCCATGTCCAATCGTTGGCAAACTCATGCAGACTCCACCTCCGCAACATCTCCAAAATACGTTCGTTCCTAACCCCAGACACTACTAAACAACTCGTTCACTCCCTCATTATCTCACGTCTGGACTACTGCAACTCCCTTCTCAGCGGCCAGACTCATCCACCTTACCAACCGCTCCGCATCCGCCACCCCCCTCTGTCATTCCCTCCACTGGCTCCCGATTGCCCAACGCATTAAATTCAAACTACTAACACTGACATACAAAGCCATTCATAACGCCGCCCCAAACTACCTCACTGACCTGATACCCAAATACCGCCCAACCCGTAATATTCGTTCCTTACAAGACCTCCTGTCAGGGATCGCCGCGGCGCTGGTCCCGACGCATGCGCAATAGACCGTCTCATGCGGAGATTAGGGCACTAGGGCTCAATCCACCGCGGAAACGGAGTTCACGCATGCGCACTACCCTTTAGATCTGATCTCCTGTTATTGACCTGGCGTGTGACCCGACCATTCTTTGCCTACTGTTTTGTACCGCACCGACCCCCGGCTACCGACACGGCTTGTTTGACTCCGCTCTTGCTCGTCCATCCATCCCTCTGGGATCCCCTGGTCCCCTCACATCAGACTCTCACCCTGCAGGAGCCTCTGGCAGACTCCTCTACCACTGGTAGGGATATCCAGTAGCTGCGACCTGGTCTCGGAGCGCTCCAAGTCCATCCCCACCATCAGGGGCTCTGGTGAACAAGTGCTCCGGAACTTAGACTCCGCGCTCTGGGGAGATCCTATCAGTGGACTGCTAGAGGTGCTGTCAGGTGGTCCCTTACAGTACCATTCGGCCATGACTGAGTCTGGAGGGAGGCCCTTCTCCCCTGGAGGACATTTGCAGGTATTTATCAGTCCTGACCCAGGCTGTCACCGCATTACAGGATAAATGCACTCGCTTAGAGAACCGTTTTGACACCATGACCGTGTCTGATGCCTCTCCCCAGGGCCTGGCTCCGGCCACCGGCTCAGGGGAGACCCCTAGGCCTACCACGGGGCTGCTGTCGCACCCTCTCCGGCGGCAGAACCCCGTGTTCCCCTGCCTGAATGTTTTCGGGGAGACCGTGCGCGCTTTAGGGCATTTCGGAACTCTTGCCTTCTATATTTTGACCTACAGCCCCGCACGTTTACGACCGAGTTGGTTAAAGTGGGGTTCATAATCTCCCTACTTCAAGACGAACTCCAGGACTGGGCCCATAGATTAATGGAAAACCATGATTCCCAGTTGGAGTCGGTAAACGATTTTTTTTTCGAGGCCATGGCCATCCTATATGATGACCTGCAGCGGGCAGCTTCCACTGAATCTGCCCTATATTCACTCCGACAGGGTCACCGGGCGGCAGAGGAATACGCCTCTGAGTTCAGGCGATGGATGGGTGACACGCGCTGGAATGATGCTGCCCTGCGTCACCGATTCCGGGTCGGACTCTCAGAGGCCCTAAAGGATGAACTGGCCCGAGTGGGCCTCCCAGAGTCCCTGGAGGATCTGATCTCCCTGGCGATCCAAATTGATCGCAGGTTGCGGGAACGCTGGTCTGAGAGGTCTGGCCAGGGTCAAGGAGTTACATGGGCACCAACCAGAGGTGCAGGTCAGTTAACTTCCACAGACAACCTATCATCCGTTCCAGTGGACCCCCCCGGAGCCCATGCAGTTGGGGCTGGCTCGGCATACCTTGTCTCCTGAGGAGCGCCAACGAAGACGTTCCAGGAATCTCTGCTTCTACTGTGGAGAAGCCGGGCATATAGTGCGGTCCTGCCCTGTGAAAGCACGTAAGTCGAGATCTTCAGTTTCTTCCTGTTCTATTGGGAATATGAACCAGTTTAGTTACTTAGCGGTACCCCTCTTCTTTCAGCTCCCAGGAAGAACCGTGGAAACGATGGCTATCATTGATTCAGGGGCATGCAGTTGTTTAGTGGATCTTGATTTTGCACGTCAACAAGAGATTCCTCTACAGGCCAGAAAATGGGGTCTCAATTTGTTTTTAGCTGACGGCTCCCGGATTAGATCAGGGTTGGTAGATCAGGAAACCCCCCCTATGCTTACCACCATAATGGGACACCACCGGGAGCTTTTACGTTTTGACACCATTGCGTCACCCCTTTTCCCAGTGATTTTGGGGCTTCCATGGCTGCAGGCCCATAACCCACAGATCAACTGGGAAACCGGATCACTCAGTTTCCTTTCGGCATATTGTCAGAAACACTGTCATGCCTCAGGGCCCGGGGCTCCCCAGATTCTCCTATGTTCAGAGGAGGACCCCAGTTTAAAACAGGTGGTTCCCGCAGCTTACCATAGTTATCTTGATGTCTTTAGCAAGCGCGGGGCCGACACTCTGCCTCCTCACCGCCCATATGACTGCCCAATCGACCTGTTGCCGGGATCCGAGATCCCTTTTGGCCGAATCTTCCCTCTGTCCGAAGTAGAATTAGGGGTTCTCAAAGAATATATAGAGGAGAATCTCCAAAAGAAATTTATCCGCCCTTCCACCTCTCCGGCAGGGGCAGGAATTTTGTTTGTTGAGAAAAAAGGATAAATCTCTGAGGCCCTGTGTGGATTATCGTGAATTGAATAGGATCACGATCAAGAACCATTATCCTTTGCCTCTGGTCCCGGAGCTTTTTCAAAGCTTGAGGTACGCAGCTTGTTTCACCAAATTGGACCTCAGGGGGGCATATAATTTGGTTCGTATCCGAGAGGGGGACGAGTGGAAGACGGCTTTTTGCACTCGGTTTGGCCACTTTGAATACCTCGTTATGCCATTTGGACTCTTCAATGCCCCGGCCACTTTCCAACATTTTGTCAATGATGTCTTCAGGGACTACCTTGACATCTTTGTCATTGTGTATCTTGATGACATCTTGATATTTTCACCCTCACTGGAGACTCATAGGGTTCATGTGACAAGGGTCCTGGAGCGTTTGCGCCTACACGGCCTATGCGCCAAAGCTGACAAATGTAGCTTTGAACAGCAGAGTATCTCCTTTTTGGGTCTGATCATCTCCACCGCGGGGGTTGCGATGGACCCCCAGAAGGTCACGGCAATTCTTGATTGGCCAATCCCTACTGACAAGAAAGGCGTTCAACGATTCATTGGTTTTGCCAATTTCTACAGGAAATTCATCAAGACTTTTTCAGGTCTGGTCTCCCCTATCACACAGTTAACCAAGCTAGGAACCCGCTTCAAATGGACACCAGAGGCCCAGGCGGCATTCGAATCCCTAAAGAATCTATTTACCACGGCACCCATCCTGGGCCACCCGGACGCAGCACTACCATACGTACTAGAAGTAGATGCATCCAAAAATGCAGTAGGATCAATTCTGTCACCGAGGAAGGGCCCAAAGGAGCTCCTACACCCGGTGGCATTCTTCTCCAGGAAACTTACCCCGGCTGAGCGGAACTATGACATCGGTGACCGAGAACTATTGGCCATTAAAACCGCCTTGGAGGAATAGAGATATTTGCTAGAAGGAGCTGCCCACCCGATTTTGATTTTTACAGATCACAAAAATCTCAAGTATTTGAGGACGGCGAAACGTCTACGACCACGTCAAGCAAGATGGGCACTCTTCTTTTCCCGATTCTCATTCCACATCACCTACAGGCCAGGATCTAAAAACACTAAACCTGATGCTCTCTCGCACATGTTCAAGGACCCCAAGGAAGAACCCAGGCCAGATACCATCCTTTCATCCGGAAACTTTCTGGCTCTCCAGACAGAACTGCGCTCAAAACTGCAAGATGCGTCAGGGACTATGCCTACCCTACCAGGGGTACCACTCTCAAACGAAGGGGGACTGATACGGAAAGAGGGGTTGATCGTAGTGCCAGAGGAAGTCCAGACGCAGGTCTTGGGGCATTGTCACGACCCACCCAATGGCAGGGCACTTTGGATTGGCAAAAACCCTGGAGTTGCTTAGATGCACCTTTTGGTGGCCTAACATGGCTGGAGACTGTGAACGATATGTCAGACCTTGTACCATCTGTCAAAGGAACAAGCCACCTAGAAGCAAGGCCTGGGGGCTATTACGTCCATTACCCATACCTGTTCGTTCCTGGCAGATGATTGCTATGGATTTTATAGTTGAGCTTCCCCCGTCCCAGGGCCATACCGCAATTTTTGTCGTTATTGACCGCCTGTCAAAGATGGCCCATTTTTTGCCTCTGAAAAGCACCCCATCGGCATTGGAGACCGCTCAGATTTTTATCCGAGAAGTGGTCAGACTACATGGGGTTCCGGGAGATGTTGTGTCAGATCGAGGAGTTCAATTTACTTCCAAGTTTTGGAAGGCTTTATGTAAAGCACTTGGCATTAAGCTGATTCTCTCTTCTGCGTTTCATCCCCAGACCAACGGGCAGACAGAAAGGACCAATCAGACCCTGGAACAATATTTAAGGTGCTATACGTCCTTTTTACAAGACGATTGGCTGACACTTCTGCCTTTGGCGGAATTTGCATATAATAATGCAAATCACTCAGCCACGGGACAATCCCCATTTTTTTGAAAACTATGGGTTTCATCCCACCTTCTTGCCTGATTTGATAGCCGAGAGCGCAGTTCCAGCTACCCAAAGTATGATCGATTTGTTTTCTGACAAGATACTGCAAGAAGCCATGGCTAAGGCCCAGGAAGATAACAAGAAAGCCTTTGATAAGAAGCGAAGGGGGGAACTGGCGCTGCAACCGGGGGGATAAAGTCTGGTTGGCAACAACAAATTTGAAGATGCTATGCCCCTCGAAGAAGCTAGGACCTAAATTTTTGGGGCCATTTCGTGTTAAACGCATAATCAATAAGGTAGCTT